AGGAAATATTTGGAGAACCTCTTACCATTTAACTACCTGTCTCCTCATTTAAGCCCATAGGAGCTTCACCATTGGCAACTGTGGGAACCGCATTCAGCAGAAGTGAAATACTGCTCAGAAACTTGTTCAAAGCAAAGACATTCTTCCTCACATCACAACATCCTAACAACAGACAAAAAAATGCAGATTTTTTTTTTTAAATATAATTTATATGTTTATAAATTTATCAAAATGTAGCTGGTGATAAATGAAAAGCATTTATCATGTAAATAAATAAATTAGAGGTTAGGGAAGTATTTGGGCCTGTAGCTCCCTATCCACACTTGACTTTCCATGCGGTAAACGAGGTGTTCACAAGGAATGTGGCATCCTGCTGTGCACCATACTAAGATTTTAAACATGATTCTCTGTAGTGTATTTGTCTGTCAAATGAATTTAATAGAGAATTTGCCGCTTCAGTCATACTGATGTTGCTGCTTTGTTAGTGTAAAGCACATTGTTTGAATGCAACCATGAGATATTTTATCTGTGTCACTTTGTCTAGAACAATCAATGACCCCCAGAGAAAAATGGGCAAATCTCTACACGTGAAATGCCTGAGTCTTCCTGCTTCACTGTAAAAGCTCTTCTCGGCAGCTTGACATCTCGTAAGAGTCTGTGCTGGCAACTTGTTTTCTGAGTTTATATTTTCTGTCTTCAACAGTGATTTCTTTTGAGCCCAGTAAGATGGTCCTGGGGACTTCCAAAGCTGGGGGTAAGAGTCTGAGTATACTTTTGTTGATGAATCAGTCCTGATTCCAAGTGAAAACAGATTGTGGTTTATGAAGCTCTATGGTGTTACACGCAAAAATCTGCAGCTCGGGATTTCTGGATTATACCTTTAGATCTTCTGCTGACTCGCACATCCCTGAGCAAACTACTTCATTTCTCCTAAGTACCCTCTTTATAACACAAGGCTAATAGTCATGTCTGGTTAAGCCTTACGATGATTTCAGTAAAAGCACTCCAGAAATGCATTGCAGAAATAGAGCAGGTAGGGCACTACCACCCTGCCTCTGCTTTTTGTACGGTTACCACAAGGGACCACAGAGGTACAGCTCCTGCTCCCTCCATCCCCTTGAGGAAAGGTGAGTGACTCCCAGCTTTTCTTTTCCTTTTGTCCTGGTTTCAGCTGGGATAGAGTTAAATTTTCTTACTAGTAGCTGGTATAGTGGTGTGGTTTGGATTTTGGATGAGAATAATGGTGATAACACACTGGTGTTTTGGTCCTCCCTAAGTAATGTTTATGTTAAGTCAAGGACTTTTCAGCTTCCCATGCTCTGCCAGTGAGGAGGTGCACAAAATCTGGGAGGGAGCACAGCCAGGACAGCTGATCCAAACTGGCCAAAGGGATATTCCATACCATATGACATCATGCTCAGTATGTTAACTGGGGGAGCTGGCTGGGAGGGCACCATGGCTCAGGAACTAGCTGCATCACTTGTTTTATATATTCTATTATCATTATTATTATCATCATCTTCTTCTTCCTTTTCTGTCCTATCAAACTGTCTTTATCTCAACCCATGAGTTTCACTTTTTTTTCCTGATTGTCCTCCCCATCCCACCGGGGAATGGGCTGCGTGGTGCTTAATTCCTGGCTGGGGTTAAACCACGGCACCTTTGGCTGCCACAGCAATACTTCCTCTAAAAGCATCACAGTTAAAAATCCATGCATGCTGACAACAGGGCTGCCAGAGAATCAAATTTAGATCAGAGTCAGATAGCAGATACGCAAACAATAAAACCAGACTGAGAAGTATTTGCTGTCCATTGCCTCCAGCCACTCATTTGCACTCATCATGCTAGTATTTGTGAAAACCCCTTCATATAAGGTTTTCTGATATAATGGTTGATCCTTTAAATTACATTCATAGTATCTGCTGCCAGAAGCATTCATTTTGATTTTGTCTCCTTTATTAAACAGAATTTCACGGAATTCTTTCCCAGTCTAAAACCTACTCCAGCTTTTGCAGTTGTTATTGCTTTGAGCACAGCCACACCGGTAGCTACAGCTAGAAGTGGAGCACTTCGGTAGGCTTGGCGGTTTTCAGTGGCCCCTTTTTTGTAGAAAGGATCATTCAGGCAGTCTGAAGTGCACCAGAAAAATGTCAGGGACACTGAGTTTGGAGAGTAGAAAGTAGTTATTTTTTGCCTCTCATTACACTGTCTGGACCATGTCTCCCATCCCAGCACAGAAATATGGCATTGCTCTACTAAGCCCTGGTCAGAGTCACTAAATGTTCTCCTCCAGCAACTCGCTTGTACCAGTTGTGCTGGAGGTCTGCATGGCTCCTGGAAGATTATTTGTAATATCTGCTCTTAGCTAAGCACAGAATTTCCCAAACTCCAATTTTATTTTCTATGCCTAGCAGGAATCCCTTTCATTTCAACACTTCACTGTCAAACAAAGTGGAATAAAATGTGCACCTTGCTACCTATTAAAACTAGAGTGTTGCAATTGCTTCTTTTTTGCAACCTTTCATGGTCTTCCTTGTGTTCTTAGTGGTACTTTCATTTTTTTTAATCTACTCTTTTATCCTATGACAAGTTATTTTCAATGCATAAAAACAGAACTTCAGAGGAACAAATAAATGAATTTGAGTTTAATCCAATTAATAAGGTCAGCCAAGGAATTTAAAAGGAAAGGGTTTAAAAATATGGAAACACATGTTCACTAGTATTTTCAAAGTATTTTGTTTGTGAAATGCCATGTTCTTCTTATTGACATTTAGAAAAAATGAAACCTTTTGTTTTCCATTTTCGTTTACAAGTCAGCTTATATAAAAAGTGAAAGTTAAAAAAGGAATGTTAAGTAATCCCCAAATTAAACAAAATGTTCCTGCTCAAGAATAAAGCTTCAGATAATCTAAAAATAAACTTAAATTGGATTTTTAGGATGAAGAATCTCTTTAAAATTATGTTTCTATTCATCCACAACTTTTTTGTCCTTATTATTTGCTTGTGGTTACAATGAAGCAATCCTTCATTTGCCCAGCTCTGCATCAGTCAAATAATTTTCTACCTCGCCTAATGTTGCTATCAGTTTTGGTACCCTCATGTGAACGGACAGTTGGGTTTTTTAGCAATTTACTCAGAAAATGACATCTTACCTGCACTTTATCTCTCAGTATGGTTGACTAATCAGTAATCCATATGAGTTTCACCAACTGTCACAGCTCTTTACCACAGTATGCAACATATAAAATTAAAAATAAATAAATAAAAAAAATCAGTAGTTATACTGGTCCTGTTTAACCAGCATTTTGTTTTCTGAAAGGCAAGAAATGTGAAGAAATGACCAGTGTGGGTACTCTTTGCTTTTCCAATCTTCATTCTGAATTTGTTTTCTCTACAACCATCAGTTCACACGAGTTCTGCCTGAGGATATTACTCTGACCTGCTATCTAAAATGAAAATCTTGCTGTTTATTGCTCCATGTCTTCTGCTTTCCTCTTTCTGCTTATTCAGAAGAGGATGGATTTATGGAAGCTGTGGTCCCAGTGGAAGAGATAACCACCTCCCCACCCTCATTGCCAGGAGATACTAACTCAATGCAAGTCCAAGTTGTCCCCACCGAGAAGATTCCTGCAGGCACATATGCAAGGACAAAAGAAAAAGGCAAGTAAAAACTGAATTACACTTATTCTAATTTACAGCACTCCCCTATTCCTGTTCCCAGCTATCTGAGGATTCGATATTTTTCACAGACACATAGAATAAAACTATTTTCTTCCTAAATCTGGATAGATTACATCATAGAATACAGGAGACACCACACTGACTGCACTGGAAAGGGCAGTTCAACGTCAAACACTGACCAGGAAAGCTTAACTAACCATTAATAAACAGTCTTCCAACTATGAATTAAACAAATGTTAGAAGACAGCTAATTGATTATGGTTCAGAATATGCACTTTTGGACACATTACTGAAAGAGTTTACCTTTGCACGTCTAATCTATGCATATGTCATCTCCAGAGACAAGCCCTGCAAGGGGTGGCCAGAGCACAGCTTCCTCTGGAATGGCTCTGGAACTGGTGCTGTCTGACACGGGACACCATGAACCTGCAGGAAAAGGTAAATGAAGTTTTTTTCCCAGTTATATCTACTGAAATATTCAGCTACCTCTATCTTAGAAGGTAGGTGTATTTTACATATAAAGATTATAGTTATTCTAAACCAGACAAGCACATATGTATTGGTATTTATAAGAACAACAGGAGATGCAGTCATCTGCAAAAGCTTCCAACAGTTCAACCTCTTCCACCAATGTGCTGTCATTAACACAAATGCTATTTATGATTAGGCTACAAGTACATTTTCCATACAGTACAAAATCTAAAATGAGCTCAGTGAATGTTTCCCCTTGCTTTTGTTTTTAGGTAGTGATTTAACCACATCTTTGAGTTACCTTATTTCACAAGCAGCAGAAGCAATAAAGGAACTTCCCCTGCTCCTCACTCTGACCTCTTGCCAAAGTCTTGCCAGAGTCACTCTTTTTCTCACCATTTCTGATTCTGTTCCAACTCCTGCCCAGAGTTCACAGAGATCCCAAGGCATTTCAGACCTGTCCCTGCTACAAATCCACACTCATGGACTGTCCCATCCATCTTGTTAGGAGATGGAGAGAAGATGTCCATCCTCTCTCTCCCCCAATCCAACCACCAGCCCCGTCAAGTCCTTTTCCTGGCAAAGTCCCAAAAGATGCCCCCTTGACATTGTTTTTCCTGACATGGAACACATTATTCTCTCAAACCCACAATATCAGTTCCTCCTGGGTGGGTGAAGCCACAGAGGCATTAGAGTTGGGACACGGAGATGCCAAGACCTCGGCAGCGCAGTAACCATTATGACAGATTGCTCCTGCATTTGGGATAGGGGCATCCTAGCTCTAATATTGAATTGCAGTTAGAAAGCGTGAATGTCATAATCCAAGGTGGTTTCCCCTGGTTTGTAAGATCAGGAAACAATTCTCTTTGAAGTGAAAATCCAGACTTTTTCCTTTGGGAAAGCAACACTATTACCGATTGCTCTGTGACGGCAGCCAGGCTTTACTGAGACAATTTTTGTAAGCATACCATGAAGGAATCATGCACTTCTCAGTCCTAGTACACCTCTAATGCTAGGTGGAAGGTATTTCAAATGAAACAGAGAAGTTATTGTTTCCTCCAGTACAACATAGTCGTTGCCCAGCTATCACTGTGCAAGCACAAGAGGTTAGGACTCTGAATTAGCCAAGACAGAAGCTACTGAATACTCAGCTAGGTTTGAATACTCTAGAAGAGAAATTTAACTATGAAGGATTACAAAGGATTGCAAAGTACTCTCATTGCAATCCAATTTGACTTGTAATTCCTGTCTTCATAGGGATGTCTCTCCCCTTTAAATATTTCCCCCCTGCTTCTGTTGTCTTGCTCAGTAGTATTCTGAGAGCCATAGTTCATGGACTGGAACAATAATTTAGAAATAGTAAAATGTTGTCTTTAAAAGTTTCTGATAGCTCTGAAAATACTTCTAACCTCACAAGAGAGCCCCCAACCAGTGAAAACATGATGTGTCAAATAACCTTTTTTGCTTTATAGTATGTGAGAGATTAACCTTTCTGCAAGAGAGAGGAAATGGAAGAGTGAAGAGGGAGCTGCCCCACCTAGGAGAAATGCTGTTCTGTTTAACTGAGCGATGCCCAGAGGAATTTGAGTCTTACGGTTGTTACTGTGGCCAAGAAGGAAGAGGTTATCCTACTGATGCACTGGACAGGTGTGCGTTCTTCTATAATCTGCCATTAACTGTGGGTATTATTGGGGTGCCCATGGACCAACAAAGATCAGCATACCTCTCGTTGGGCCTTGTATAGCTACGTATCAGTAGTCAGGCCACATTTTGGGAAAAAAAAAAAAAATCCAGTTAACTACATAAAACATTAAATACTTTAATGTCACTAAGACACATTTTATTATGCATCAATGTTTTTGAGAGGACTTCTTATTAACTCAATTAAAATAAGAAAAGGAAATGATGGGAGGTAAGTAGAGCAGAAGGAAGAGCATATCAAAACAGATGAGGATAAGGGTTGACATGAAACTTGGCTAAGAGATGGTTTGGAAAGTGATTTATGAACCAAAGAGTTAACATACATCTGTGCTGCACTGTCCTTCAGATGAAAGCACAGCTCAAGACACCTGCCGCAGCCAACCGTGTGCTGTCACGATACAACTGACAAAGAGGAGTAATTCTAGAGTAATGCGGAGAATTCAACCGAAGTAAAGAAATCTCGTTTAAGAGTGTTGCATTTACAATTAAAAATCTCTCCCTGTGTGGAAGTTCATAATAGTTGGGGCCACATCAGGTCTAAGTACAGCACTTAGTATGCAGCACACACAATTTTTCTACACTTGCACACAGATAAGACTGCCTACGGATGATCAGGTAGACTACGTGAAGGCTAGTCAAAGCTCTGGCTGCTCAGTTGTAATGGGCATTGAAAACAAATAGATAAAATAATTGTGAGTACTCTGTGATGCACGAAGAGTAAGTATTTTCCAGTTACATCTACTGTTTATTTTAGGTGCTGCTTCTCTCATCACTGTTGTATGGAACAAGTTAAGAAACTTGGATGTCATGCAGAAAGAACTTCAAGATCTGAAGTTGTGTGTTTTGATCATAAGCCAAAATGTAAGTTCGGGTTAGAGGACATTTCTTACATCCTGATGACAGTGTATCAGCATTACGGATCGAATGCCACCATGCCTGTGAGCTGCTAGGGCTAGGCATGGAGAGAGAGAAATTTGGCTTACAAAATGTTAGCAATTCTTAACTGTAAACCCAAGCTTTTTTCCTAGTTGAGATAAAGGTTATTATACCACTGTGTATGATGTGACCAGGTCAGGCTGAGAAAATCACATTCAGATATTTTATGACTGGAGACAGAAGTCAGTCGTTGGTGTCCTTACTCTCACAAATTCAAGTAAAGCCACTCAGACCTTCACTGGCCCAGCACCTTGGTGTCAGGCTTATATTTAGATGATTAAAGGTGAATTTGGAGACTAAAATTCAAGGCAGATTTGAAAATTTTATTTTCAAAAGCTCCTCTACCCATGGCAAATTACCCATTGACTAATTGCAACAGCTTTCAAACATTAATTCTGAAACTTCTTTCTAAGGTATTGGTTGGAGCATGTGTGAGAAACTACTATGTGCTTGCGGTAAGACAGCAGCCGAGTGCATGGCTTCTGCCTTCTTCAATGAAAGCCTGAAGTTTCCACACAGGCAAGAGTGCCAAGAGGAGAAAGTCTCATGTCAGAGAGACCCTTATGGAAGGCCTTCAATCGGCACAGAAATAGGCGCCGCGATTTCCAGCTCCGAGGAGAGCAGTGAGGAGGAAGGTCCACTGTGGAGGGTATTAAGAAGAGCAAAGAGAGAGACACACCATCCCATTGGAAACTCCAGACCTGTGCAACATGAAGGCAGATAACCAACCACCACCACACGCTTGAGCAACGGCACAGAGACTTTCGCAGTCAGCCATCGCGTACCCTGCTCTTTCTTGTCACTCTACATGTTGCTTCACACTTCCCAGCACACAAATGAGGTAATCTTAGACTAGGTATTAAATGTTAGGCTGTAGAACTCCTTACCATAGTGAAGTCAGCATTATGGACCATCTAGGTCAGATATTACCTTAAATAATTATTTGACAATATTCTGTATTATTTCATTTGATTTCTATGTAAAATCTTTTCTGATCAAAGACTGATTTTTGTTAACTGCGTAGTTAGTTCAGACTGGATCTTGCTGATGGTGGCTAAGTATTTCAGGTTTTTAATTAAACCAATCTGCAACTACTCCAACTCGTTTTGCAGACATTCTTCCTTTACTGATCTTAGCATGAAACGCCAAAAGAAAAGCTCATGAAAACAAGTTCCTTCTTCCCTTCTTATCTAATTGCAATTTTTAGCCTGCAGAGTTTCTGCTGGTCAGTCAAGTCATGACAGTAAAAGACACACGCCTTGCTCCGAAGCAGTCTACTATGCATGGTTATCTCCAGTTTTGAGAGATTTCAGGATGCTAAAGGGAATGGCTTCCATGGAATTTAAAGGTTCTGCTTCCTGGAATCAATGAAAACTAATGAATTCTGAAGTATGTAATGTAAAGCTGGAAAAATGCTTTTTGCTTTTCACTGAACCCAAGTTTGCTCTTTTTTTTCTTCTTCAAATTCACCACTCGTAAGGTTCACCAATTACCAGACAACACCAGTATAAAACAGTATGTACATTCTTTTACTGGATAAGGTGTTGATTTAGACTACGCTTTGATCATAAAATATCACCACAAGAAATAAAATTACTAGAACACAACTACTACTAACAAAGCTGAACAGCAACAAACCCCACCAGCTAGGGTCAAAATCACTAGCAACCTTATTTTGCTGTGAAAGATGCACACAAGGGTATAATCTTTATATGTCTTTCTCGTTAGATTTCAGTTGTATAGCCCACAACAGCGCAAATACACAGCTTCAACCCAGGCGGTGACCTGCCAAAAACAGCATAGAACATCGCATTTAATGGGATTACTGATATTTCCATACTTTTGCTGAGCATGTATTTGCAAAATCAAAACCATACTAATAATATACTTCCTCTGTAAGCACATCTAATCGTAACAGTGAAGGTTTGATTTCTTGATCAAAACCAATCACATCATTTTAACTTGCGTTAACATTTACCTGTTACCTGCCATAACTGACTTTGTGCTGTGTTTGCATCACTCATGACATCTTTCAAAGGTTAGATTGGTGATTCCCGCTCTTTTATTCGGTTGAATCACATTGACGTTCCTTTGCCTCATTCTCTTCAACTGCACCCTTGATCCCCAGTGCCATATTCCGCTCCCTAGGAAGCAGTAACAGCACCTCACTCTCACCAGCAGCTTCCCCAGCGCTGAGCACTGAGAGAAACCAAGACCAACAACCCCCCCAACACCTTTGAGTTCAGAGTTGAGTTCAGTTCTGCTCTACGTCCCAGCCTAACTTCCCAGGCATTTTGGAAACTAGAACCAAAAACCAAAACAAGTTAGTTTTACTTTCCACTTGAGGTGCCTTCAGACATTAACCATGACACTGTGCAAAAGCTCAGGTACCACATTACCTGAGACACGTGGATTCTGAGTTGTACGATTCTGGGCCTGCAAACCTTCAGTAGGATGAAAAAACCAGCACATTGTTGTCAAAATTTACCTACTTCGCATATTGTTCTTCATAAGTTCAAGTCATCTGTCAAGGAGTCAGGTTTGTGTGTTCCTGAACATCCAGAAACAAATTAATAATTGATTTGAGGATCAAGTCATACCTCTCTGGGAACTAGAAAGGTCTAATAATTCTCACACTTAATGCTTCGGTTTGCTTAATAAAGGCATACTTTTATTTGTTACAATTAACTTGAAAAAATATGAAAAAGCAAAATAATCATTGTAGAAAATATTTTTATTAAAAAGACTCCAAATTTCCCTTGCTTTTTACCCTTCTCTTAGAACAAAAGATTTAAATGCCACGGAACTGTAGCTAGCAGTCAGTCACTGAGGTCCGACCCACAGCAGAGTGGTGGATCTTGGTGCACAGGGGGTTTTCCCAAGGCAGGGAAATGGCAGGGCAGTGGAGAGACCCACCAGGAGCCGGCAGCTCTGGTGAGAGACCACCCGGGTGGTCAAAGTCCCCCAGCAGGACAAGAGCCTGTGAGCGCGATGCCTCCTGTAGCTGGGGTAAGAAGGCTTTGGCAGTAGGCTCCCCATGATCAGGTGGCCTGCACCAAGCAACAGGTTCCCTTTGCTGCCTCAGACTCTAATTCTTACCCATAAGCTTTCAACCTGCTCATGGCTATTCTTCACAAACACCTCTTCACACTCTATCCATTTCTTGATGTAGAGGGCAACCCCTCCACCCCTTCTTCCTCACCTGTCCCTTCTGAACAGCCTGTAGACATCAATGACAGTGGGATCGAGTGCACCTTCAGCAGATTCGCAGACGACACCAAGCTGTGTAGTGTGGTCGACACACTGGACGGAAGGGATGCCATCCAGAGGGACCTTGACAGGCTGGAGAGGTGGGCCCGTGCAAACCGCATGAAGTTCAACAAGGCCAAGTGCAAGGTCCTGCACATGGGTCAGGGCAATCCCAAGCACAACTACAGGCTGGGCAGAGAATGGATTGAAAGCAGCCCCGAGGAGAAGGACTTGGGGGTATTGATTGATGAAAAGCTCAGTATGAGCCAGCAGTGTGTGCCTGCAGCTCAGAAAGCCAACCGTGTCCTGGGCTGCATCAAAAGAGGTGTGACCAGCAGGTCAAGGGAGGTGATCCTGCCCCTCTACTCCGCTTGTGTGAGACCCCACCTGGAGTACTGCGTCCAGCTCTGCTCAGAGGGCTGGAGCACCTCTCCTATGAAGACAGAGAGAGTTTGGGTTCAGCCTGGAGAAGAGAAGGCTCCAGGGAAACCTTATTGTGGCCTTCCAGTACCTGAAGGGGCCTACAGGAAAGATGGTGAGGGACTGTTTATCAGGGAGTGTAGTGATAGGACAAGGGTTAATGGGTTTAACCTAAAAGAGTTCAGACTAGATATAAGGAAGAAATATTTTAGGATGAGGGTGGTGAAACACCGGTGGTAGATGCCCCATCCCTGGAAACATTCAAGGTCAGGTTGAACAGGGCTCTGAGCAACCTGATCTAGTTGAAGATGTCCCTGCCCATGGCAAGGGGTTGAACTAGATCACCTTTAAAGGTCCCTTCCAATCCAAACCATTCTATGATTCACTAACATTTCTTAGAACAAAAAACATTGCTACAAACTTACTAGTGATTCAGCTGCTCCGAAAGAAAGGTCTGGATTTCTTCTCTATAATCCTGTTCTACAGGGTTGAATGTTGTCACAAAAGTGTATCATTACAGATATATATCCCAATGCTGGATACAGAAACACTACCCATGTTCTTCCAAATCATGACGCAGTCAACTAAACTGTATCATTTGATGTCCTTGTGCAAACTGAACATTGTGAGAACAGCAGGTGAAAATGCCAGTGAATGTTCTTAGATGAGCAATTAATATTCTATAAACCTCTGGCTGGTTGTACTCCCCCTTTAGTATTTTTCCTACATTAAAATTCCAAAGGATTAGGGCAGTACAAAAACCAAACAAACCAACCAACCAAAAACCCCAAACCAGAACCTGAAACCCAAACAAAAAACCCCAAATCAAATCCAAACCCCAAAGGTATTCAGTCACATGAATCCCATTGCCTGCAGTGGCTACACCATTAGCGCTAGTGAAGAAAATAGAACATAAAGACCTTTTCTTTAAAGGAAGGCCGAGAGGATAGCTACGAGATGTGAGAATTTTCATCTGCATACAAGATTTTAATTAACTTTATTTCCCCCCCCCCTTACACTGTATAGAAAGAGAGCATTTCAGTTCTTAAGCAAAATGCTACAAATCTCCAAAACGCCCATTTTTGTCCAGTGCTGAAGACAAGATCTGCATTACGCTGACATGTTTACTTGTTTCAGAATTGGAAATTCTATCAGCCTTATATCATAGCAATGAAAAACTATTTTATATTTCACAGCATTTATAAATACAAATGATAATGAAAAGGTCAGATAGCTAATTAGCTGGAATGGGGAAAATTGGCCTTTAAACAAGTGAATTAAGTGTGTGGCTGCTTAATAATAACAACGTGCGCTCATTTATCTGATGGATGGTAACTGCTGCTGCTCTGAAGCCTGCATTTAAAATACACACTTAAGATTAAAAAAAAAAAAATCCCTTTCTGCTAATTATTAAAAACTAGTATTACATTCATCATTATGCAAATAACATATGCATATATTCACTCAGATATGTTGAATTTTCTGATTGCAGGGATAGAGATGGATCATCTGAATCGATCAAGTAACAGAGAAATTACAATATAAATAAGCTGTTATTCAGGCAATGTTTTCATTGCTTCCTTCAGGCTTTTCTCCAGTATCTCTTATTTCAGAATGAATCTAACACCAAAGTTGTTCTGTAATTACTACCGTATGAATTGTGTTGATAAAGAATTCTTAATCTAGCAATGATTAGCTGTATTTATTCACTCTCAGAGATCAGTGCTAAAATAATGAAAAAAATGATAAGCAGAACAAGATGAGACATTTAGCTTTTTTTCTTTCTTCTCTCATTCTCACAGAAGCTTTTATTTTTCAAAGATTTGAAGCATAGCTGCCCAAAATGTAGTTGTTTCCCCAAAGTGAACAACTAATCTATTAATTACTCATCTAAAACTATTTCCTCCTTCATGAGATACTCATTCATTTACTTAACTTTTTAAGCACTTATTATTTGCCTGTAAGCTGATAAAGTATTAAAGATTTGGGAACGTGATTTCACAAACACCTTGAGATAATTTAGGAAGAAATGAACTCTGAAAACCAGCACTGTTCAGGTGTACCGGTCATCTTGATCACAGTGTCGTTAAAACTGGGAGCAATGGATGACTCACCGTCAAAACCCTGCTCAGACCAACCTGAGCAACAGAAAAGGCTGATGACCACACGTCTTAGTAGCAAGTTCTGAGATCCACGATGAGGCATAGATTACAGAAAGAAGACGCCCACCCTCTAAAATATCCTAAACATACACAAAGTTTTAACATCTGCAAAAATTAGGAACAGAGGAGCAAGGGGGAAAAAAAGGCGATGATACGATCCTTTATATATTAGGACATATCTCATGTGAGGCAGAGAAGGTTCCAACGTCCTCAAAATAGACAAAAAGAATTGTTCTTCCCGATTCTCTCAGGGTGTACTATGAAAACCATTTAAATAAATTAATGCTACCAAAAAAAGAGAGTAACAAACAGCCCCATTAGGTGGCATCACTGTTTGAAAGAAGCTGCCCGTGGGTGAGCTGTATACAGATCTTCACACACACTGACAACTTTATTCTTTGAAATGGATACTACAAACCCAATACATTCCTTAACCAGGCCAGCAGGCCTGAAGAGCATCACTTATTTATCTTCCTGAAGCTTGTCTGCTATTAGGAAAGGGTTTTTATATCGTTGCATTCTCAGCTTTTGGTGGTCTTGGTAATAGTAAGGGTTTAATCATAAATCAAAGTAGTAGTTTAATAATGCTGCAATGCTACAACATTTGTGAAAACAAGAAGTTTTTAAAATAAGGTCTATTTTAAATGCCAAGAAATTACGGTATTGATTTTTAATTGTGAACAATAAAAATTAACTGACACTTCAGAAGAGATTAATTTTAAATTTTGGTTTATTTTATTGCTTAAATATAGATTGCACAGTGTGTTCTTACATTTATTGAAACTGGTTCATTACGTACAGTACAGAATATATGACCATCAGAATAACAGACAAATTAGCCCTACTCTGATTTTGGACAACAGGCTATTTCTACCTTTTAAAAATAACAAGGATTTAATTTACTTTAAAGTGACCACTACCAAAAGCTATATTTTTTTCAAAATGACACAATGGGAAAGAAAACCCAAAGCAAAAGCTGGAATACATTTAAACAGCTGGATACCAATTTATAAACATTGTGATAGTACTCAATGTGTTGCAGATAACACAGGGCCAGTACGCACATGGAGCTTTTAAGTTCTGCAACTTGTCTCAAGAACACAAAGAGATAAGTGAAACAAAGCAGCTTTATACTGTACAACAGCATTCTTAATTCATTTGGTTTCACTCATTAGCTACATATTACAACAGCTACCAAAACAATACGTTTTACAGTCACTCCCATCTCCCAGCTGTCCAGAAAGGCCAGAGTGAACCAATTACCAACTTAGAGACTCCCTGAATTTCCAGAAAGGAAGAAATTAAGTATCATGTGAACACACAGAGTGTTACAAGCTCTTCACTCCCTGCACGATACCTGCACAACACCTGCATTTCCCAAACAAAGCTCATTTGAACACTGAAAACGTTCAAATCATTAGCATAAATGAAAAATACTTCATAAACAGAACAGAAAATGAAATGCTGAATCTAGTTATTTTCACATGCAGCGTTCATGCAACAGAATTCAATCACAGAAACAATCCTGTATTTACAGCACAGTTTCCATACTGCAAGAGTGCAAACAGAAGTACATTCTTTATTTCTTAGATTTCTTATTTTCTTTTTGTACAAAAGTGCACAGTGTTATTCTTAAAAAATGACAGAGTGGATAAGTGGTTTACATTGTATCCCTATGTTAGATTTACTATTTAAAAAATGCCGAAAAACTATTACGTCTTACCTTAAAAAAACCCCAAACCTAAAACCAAGTGAAAACTAAAAGCTAGAGTGATAACGAGTCCTATTTATGTGTAGACTGTGGTCTGATCAGGCTGATACGCTGCAGCAGTAAAAATCACAACGGAATGCTGTAGATAAGGGGCTGTTTCGTCATCCACTAACAGCTGTGATTGCACTGTTAAACTGAAAAGAAGGTCTCAATTACCTTTTGAGTTTTTTGAATGCTTTCTGAAAGTCTCAGCATGTTGTCTCATAGGTTTAAGTAGCTGATATTTCTCTGATGTTATGTCACATCAGGCTTTTAAAAGTAGTCCAGCAGAATACTGATCTACAGTTCAAAAAACTTAAAATCTATTATACAGTGGGTTTGCAAATGCTCAAAACAGTCAGCAAATTAGCTGGCCTGATAACCATTCAGATCTTACAATTATGCAATCATAGATTAATTTAGGTTGGGATTTCTGAAGGTCATCTAAATGAAGCTCCTGCTCAAAGCAAGGCTAATGGCAGTCAGATCACTTTGTTCATGGCCTGATCACTGTTTAAACTGCTGGGTAACTTAACGTCTTACATTTATTATAGATATTTGAGAACATTCATTCATGTTTATGCTGCTTCAGTCAAATTCAGATAGATTAAGGGACTTCAAACTTACTATTCATGCCATCAATGAAAACTGGTTTTTCTTTTTGCCTGCTGAATTTAGTGAGTCATAAAGACGGCATTGACAATTATCATCAAAAGCTCAGTGATTTACTGTATCCGTTTTACTTTATTTACATTTGAATAGTATACTCAGATACATAAACCTATGAAAGTTACCACATTTTCCTTATTTCTAGAAAGGTTTGAAAAATGAAACAAAAACGAACACAGAGATGCATCTCTAAAAATGCTTTTGCTTGAAAATATATGTAATAAATTCTTGGTCTTTAAATGGTTTAATCCAGTTTTCTTTCAATTTCTAAAATATCATTAAAAAGCTGTAATAAACTACAGAGAAATACCTCATAGAATATATTTGTAATTTCTGTATTTATGATTTAAAATGCCCTCAGTTTATTTTCTGCTATACTAAATATATCTCTCATGTATTTATACTAAAGCAGACAGTAAAATACTACTGCATTTTCAAAAGTACAGTTTGTAAACCATACACCTTAAGACATGAAAAATATTGCACAGTTCCATGCTTCAAGAGGGGATTTCTCCCCTCTTACGCAAAGCAGTTAACTTTTAGCAAGAAACCCAGGACATATACGGGGCATATATATCTAAAAAGCATGTTATGTGATGCATCAAAAAAATACTTAACAAGTGTCCATTAATTCATTGACTGTACTTGAACACATGTAAGGTATTGGTTTTTTCCATAAATTCCAAAATAAACAAGTTGGCTAGCCACGAGAGCATGAACAAAAGGGAGCGAAGGTAGCGGTCCACTGGGTACAGTTATTAAGATGAAGCAAGCCAAAAGCATTCTATTTAGATATATAATTGAGGTGGAGGGAGAAAAAAGAAAAAGAAAAAAAATGCAAGCTTTAACACGTTCTTCAGTTACAATGTCTAAAATTAATGGAATTTACAGAAATACAAATTCCTAGCGTAACTGAAATATTCATCTATATGGCAAGACAAGTTTTAAATTTGACTTTTACATGTACTCAAATATGAAAATGAAGAAACATGATATATGAAAAACCTAACTTCAAGTATATTACAAAAGAAAACAACTCAGGACAGTCTCATGAGTTTGGCTAGAGTAATCTGTGTTTGGCTCATGTCCATCATTATTTTAAAGTTAGTTTAGATGAAATAAACAATAAAATTTGAAAACTCATCTTGTTCTTTCTATTGTACTCTACTCTAAATAATGTCCAGCAGACTTCAGAAGACACTTAATACACACAAAGATCTGGAAACTTCATCTCATAGACCGGAACAGATTGGTAATGAGCATGTCCAGCAGTAATAGTCATCGTTCCCGAGGGGCTAGGTGGAGGACTGTGTGAGAAGAACAATCAATATATATAATTTATAATTATAAAGACTGCTTTTTTATAAGTTGATATACAAATAGTTGAGAAAGAAGAGTAAACTACCCTCCCCCCTCACAACCAGTATTTTATGCTATTTCTGAAATTCTAATGAAATTATCATGCCTTGTTTCTAGGTTGTTGGTTTTTTTTTTGTACTCTGGTCTAATTCATCAACTTCACTGATGTTACAGAACTATGAAAATGTATTTTATTACTAAAAAATACTGTTCATACTGCACAATGGATATGCACAACACTCTATAATAATGTCATGTACTATTTTGGGTGTTCATTTTCTTACTACTTTCTCAAACAGATACAGCAATGGGAACACAGCAGCATTCTTCAATACTATTGATATTCATAGAAAATACATAAGAATGTAAGTGTGTTATGACATGGTCTCCACTATCTAGAAGTTTCAAACTGGTAAAAAAAAAAAAAAAATCAAAGTGACTGTTTTAGATTAAATCTACTCTTTTCCAGTATACTGGTCTTGGCTAGCATAGAGTTAATTTTCTTCATCGTAGCTGGTATGGGGCTGTGTTTTGGATTTGTGCTGGGAACCGTTTTTTTTTTTCATTCCGTCTGAGCAGTGCTGACACAGAGCCAAGGCCTTTTCTGCTCCTCACCCCACCCCACCAGCGAGTAGGCTGGGGGTGCACAAGGAGTTGGGAGGGGACACAGCTGGGACAGCTGACCCCAACTGATCAAAGGGATATTCCATACCATATGATGTCATGATCAGCAATAATAGCTTTAGGGAAGATGGAAGAAGGGGGGTATGTTTGGAGTGATAGCGTTTGTCTTCCCAAGTCACCGTTACGAGTGATGGAGCCCTGCTTTCCTGGAGATGGCTGAACACCTGCCTGCCCATGGGAAGTGGGGAATGAATTCCTTGTCTGGCTTTGCTTGTGTGCGTGGCTCTTGCTTTACCTGTTATACTGTCTTTATCTAAACCCACAAGTTTTCTCACTTTTACCCTTCCGATTCTCTCCCCCATCCCACTGAGGTGGAGTTAGCCAGCCACTGTGAGGGGCTTAAATCCCAACCACAGTTAAACTACAACATTCAGATAAGTCAATTATTTTCTGCCTACTACATGTGTTTAAGAACTTTATGACATGACCACCTGAAAGTAGTGACAATTGCTCTATAACTCATCTTTCATTCATCGTATTCTTCTTGCATAAAGCCTTACCGAATGGTGAGTTCCAGTATCTGTGCAAGTCTATCATGAAGCAAGTTTGCCTAGGAAAGAAATTAAAATTGAATTATTAACTACTATATATTGAACCAAGCTGAAATGAATGTGCCAGCCATACTCAGTGAGTGTTTCACACCACCACATAGCAAATTGAGGCAGCATTTACTATCTTATTTTCTTTTCTCATTGCTGCAAGGATTCTAAGCCCTGAAGAGGCATCTGGGATTGAGTGAGCCTGTCTTGGAGTGCATAGAATTATATAGCAAATTTTGCTGTTGCAGATAGGAGTTTAACAAATCTGAAATATATTTAGTTATTCAAAATATATAATGGAGTAAATACTGCTCCAGTTATCCCAGAATGAAACAGGAATGGACCTCAAATCTAGATTTTAAAGACAGTATGGAAAACATTAAGATGAAGAGGGTATGAGATTTCCATTCCTTTTCAAATGGTCTGGGAACAATCAAAAGCACAATTCAAACAACTGGAATTTCCCAACACTGGTAATAGTGGAGACAATAGCTGAAGACAAAGAACTGAACTTCTGTAGTAGTAATAGCAGCAGTAACATCATAACATAAATCACCTTCAGCCAGCACATCCCCATTAATGCTTATACTAGTATCCTCAATGCTGTAAACTATTTTGCAGAAACTCACTTTGGTTTCACATTGTGCTGCGATTTCTTCAAATGGTGCTTTCTGGAACTTTTCAATCACAAGACGCCTTTTTTCTTTTTCCTGTTCTTCAAGTCCATTGTTATCTTAAAAAAAAAAAGACAAATGTAATCTTTGTGTATCAAGTATAAGGGACATAAACCTTCAAATGTGCACTGCAGAAGCAAACAATCACTGCAACTGCTCTGTCATTGCTTCTAAAGCAAAATGCAGATTTAATTTTAGGAAGCTGGTTTAAGGACCCCAATTTTGCCCCCTTCTCAGTATGTGCTTTAATTTTTAATCCAGGCTTCCTTTTGCTTTATTGTCTGGACTCAAGACTGCACTTACCACTCACTGCACACAAGTTCAGGTTCAAGAGAAAAGAAGGGAGTGTCCTCCCTCCCAGTATCATGCAGACAGGTGGGCAGAATTTTCTATGAGAATTTGGGAAAAGCAAGTTCAACCTCCATAGGCTGAGTGAAACTACAACCAGCTGGAACTTTGCACCATCTAATGAATTTAAGTACCTCAGTGATTAGGCAGGTTTGGAAAACTGTCAGACTTAATTATTGTTTAAAATGTCAGTGTCTATTGTTTAAAGCATTAATGTCTAATCCATATTTTTGACAGCATTTTGGTGGAATGGACAGCATTAATTAGTAATTATTATACTGATATGAAATAAGGAAACTGGATAATTCTGAGTTCTAGTAGCTGGGTCACTTGTCAGAAAAATATTATTTTGAAAAATTGAGTGTTTTTGAAGTCCAAAATGTATACCTTACAATCTATTTTCTGAATGCACTGAAAGACCTGAAAATCTTAATACGTAAAAAATATTTAAGTTGCTTTATAAATAATCACTCAATGGCACTTTAAAATCTCACATTATTTACAGCTTAGCCTATAAGGGCAACTTGAATAGATGACATGCATTTTCAGATGCTTTTGATTCAGTCACATTAGCCTCTGAAAATGAATTCACTAAAATTATCAAGATACCATTTCAGAAATTTAGAACTAAATAACTGAAGTTTTAAATAAATATACTACCTGAAGAGAAACAAATATAATATTCTAATTGTTATTCTGGCAGCATCTTTTTCTCTAGCAATTCCACAGTAATCTAAAATTATGCTGTATAATAAATCTTACCAATTGCTTTCTTCAAAGCTTCAAATGTGATTTCTTCAGTAGTATCAACCTAAACACAAATAAACAAAAAACCCCTTAAACCTGACATATAACAAGCTTCTAAAAAATAAGGAATGCAATAAATACAGAAGGCCAAAATGGCCATAGAACTTTTCTGCCTTACGAGTTTCTAATAGCTTTATCTGGAGTTTTTTGGACAGCTGACAGATCACTAAAACACGTTTTTAAGCCACTGCAATTAGTGAGGAAATTTTTATCAAATGAGATCAAAGAAAACTTTCCAAATTCTGGTCAAGATGCTCTATGGCAATACTACTTTGGAAAAGGACTTGAACTTTGGCAGAACACTCCTTTGGGTCAGGAATATGCTATGGTGTTTCTACACTGCTAAGCCTCAGTACTGGTTTTTAGACAGCTGTTGCAAATAATTACAACTGCTCCCTGAGACTAGCTGAGCTACCAGCAATGTGATACGAAAATAAGAGATGGCAGTGGAGGGTAGAGTGGAAAATGGTTATTGCTTTAGGCTAACTTCATACCAGTATGGGCTCCAAATAATTTGCTGCTTATGTCATAAACATGGGAGCTAAAGGGCTCTTTGTAACAAGCTATGTCTGATGCACTGAGAAAATTTGTTCCGTTAGCTGCAGATGTACTTCATTAGGAATTGCTTGGGTCTGCAAAATTACCAAAGACGCATGAACATTTATTTCTCTGAAGAGCTCCAGCTCATGAATCTTTGTGTTTCAATTCTTTATAGACCTACAGTTTCTGTATCAGTAAGTGTATTTACAGTGAAACCACTGTGATAATATTAGGGGAGAATGCTTAAATGGCAGAACAGTGTTCACATGAATATAACAACATGGTTTCTTGGCTTGGACTGCCTTATTTCAATCTTTCAAAACTAACTACATGCGAACAGCCAGCACTTTTATTTTTCCTTATAAAACACTGATGTTTAGAATGGTCTAATGATTTAAGATAAAAGACGTGTAAGGTAGCAAAATGTTATTTCACTCATTCCAGAAGAACCTGAATTGTTTCAATTATTTAATTGACTTGACCTACTGTAAATGGAAAAGCCAGAAGAAGTAGCTGTTTCCTTTTTACATCAGTGTTATTTCAGGAAATCGAGCTGTAAATGATACTTTTCTAACAGACTTTACTACATTAGCATTGTATTCTCTACCTCTGAATATATAAAAGGTTAATAAACAAACAGCAAAACACCTTTTATGTCAAATATTTGTGGATATGGCTAGAGATAAAAAGTATTCAAGTTTTGAAATAATCACCTTTTATACAATTCATAGTTGGTAAATATTACTTGTTTACAGCAGCCTTTCAGATTTCTAATTAACATCCATAGTAGCTGCTGATACTAGCCAGCATTACATTTGGTTATTAACACCATAGAAGCACTAGCTGCATTTACAAGTGCTTTCATCTTATAAATGGAGATAACTACGGAATAAACCATCTTCCTGAACAGGATTCACTAACAGACTTGCCACAACAAAAAACTTTGATTGTGCTGACAAAAGAATTGCATTTGTATTGTATAGAATAATAGATATTTTAAGGAGAAACAGTCTTCCACCTCAGACAGTGTATAAATGATACCATACATGATTAATCCTAAAACTTCCATTAATTAAGTAGCTTATTCTCTCAACCATAAAGCCATAAAGCCTTTTTTTTTTTTTTTCCAGTTTAATTCTGCTGATAGTTATGGATTATGTTAGATTTACTAATCTATGTAGCAAGAGAACCAGATTTAATATCCTCACGGAATTCAGGGAAGTGGTCGAGTCACCATCCCTGGAGGTATTTAAAAGATGCATAGATATGGTGCACAGGGACATGGTTTACTGGTAGGCTTGGAAGTGCTCGGTTAATGGTTGGACTCTATGATCTTAAGAGTCTTTCCCAACCTAAATAATTCTATTATTCTATGAAAGCTTTTCAGTTGTTCATTATTTAGATATCAAGACCAATTTGCAGTGATCAAATTGGAAATATTGGTTTTTCCCTTTGCATTGTAAACAAACACTGTAAAGAAACTGAAGGAGTAATAGTTTGTTTCATGTGCTTCTGATCAATAAAAAATCTTGTTTTTAAAGAGAGACAAACAGTAATTCATTATCCAAGACACTGTACCAGATTATACTGAGAACCCATACACATATTTTGATTTATCTACAACTGTTACATCCTGTTCAAAAAATGTCAATATATCAACATTCAACATAACATCAGCATGATGATTTGAAATCTGAAATGGAACCTTCTCTCATTTAATTCTGCTTTCAAAAGATATGTTTAATCACATATAATATAGGAGATTAAAAAATGATACTAATGGCAAATTCCCGCATTCCTATTAGGAGCATTTACTTTCTTCAGAAAGCTAAAGATTGTGATAATCTGGCTTCTTTTTCAGACATTTCTCTCTCCTTTGTCCTAAACTTGTACCTAGTTTATCTTTGTTAAAGCACAATAGCAAGAAGTGAATACAGAACATCATCTGAGGTATCGTCAAGCACAAAGCAAAAGGGAGTAACAGTAATGATGTAAAACATAAATAACTCCTGTCAGTAAATTCTAAAACAAGGCTTGCTCCTTTGCAATGGCTTAATATTGCATTTTTAACTAACATTCAGTTGACACTGTCCCCACATTCTGTTTCACGTCCCTAGCCGGTTTGTGCTTTAAGGTGCTGAAGGTAGGATTCATTTGCGTGTACAAACACCTCAATTTCTACAGCTAATCTCCATCGCAGTCAGCAGAAATCTGGGTAATAAAAATTACCAGACTCTTGGAAAAGATTCAGTAGAAATGGAAATTTATTTTAGGAAATACTTCAAATGAAGTGTCAAAAGAAGTGGGATAATTTTAATTATGATGCAGCCTTCCTAAAGGATAATTTGCATCAGCTCCTGTACCCTCCATAAGAACTTTTTGTTGCTCCCTTATTATTCCTGTGTCGCTAAAGCGCTGTGTGTCAAACTCTTCTGGAAGGGAAAAGTGATACTGTAACACCATGGGTGTATGTAGCCTGCCTAGTCTTCACCTGCCCCTCTCAAAGACAGCAGGTCTCCCACTAGTCAGGTATCTCTCAGCCCCGTGTAGATGAACAAGACTCTCAGATACTTCAAATGATGCAGGAATACAGATGCAGGATTTTTATTTGATCCCTCAAATGCAAAGAGAACATTTTAGAATCTTTAATCATAAAATATTAGTTGTATATATGTATTGCTACCTCATATTCTGCAAAAATGTAAAAACTATAGTGACAAAATACATTTATACAGCAAGCTCAGTATCAGTGTCTTTGACAACACATTTCTACAAATATAGGAAATAAAAAAAAATCAAAACCCTAAAGCATTGAACATTTCTAGAACAATCAGACATTAGATTTTCTGGGAAAACTTCATTTGCATTCCCTTCTTGCTCCCCTCCCCCGCAGATGCTGCTTTAAGATATTCTGTGATTTTCATACCTTATCCTCTGTGTGGTTGCCAGGCAGAATATCCACCTGAATAGATACCGTGTCCACAATGCTCTTCCTCCTGGAGAGTCTATCCTCATCTAGGAAAAAAACACCTTATCTCACTTTTTGTATAACAGTTGAAACATGAGCAATCAAATTTTACACTGCAGATGCAGATTTGTTTCTATATCCCTATTTATCACAAGATCATCTAGTTTATCATTTGAATTGTTGTGAAAAATGATCAGTTACTGCTCTAAACTAGAAAAAAAATAACCTTTTTATTGTCCCTTCCCCCCCCTCATCCCAGATCTTGCCAACTTTCCCTTGAAAGCCCAGAATTTTAAAAAATGAGATGAGATCTTATTCAAATGCATAATAAATAACATAGTGCATGATGATATTTTGCTGCAGAATAATTTACAAAAGTCTGAATTTATTTTTTTGGTTGTGAAACTGAAATATTAAGGTCTTAATTTGAAGGTATTCTGAAAGAGAAAAGGGTTTCTTGGCACACGACTCATTGCCAGAAGAAATAAAGATTTCTGAATGGAAATGAACAATGATACTTCCTTATTCTTGTTGCTACAAGTACCATATTCAGCGAGTCTAAAAATCTACTTGGTGAAAAAAATTCTCTCAATTTCTAATTTCCTAGAAATATTTTAGCATGTCCAGCTGGCCTAAAAAGTTGTCAGAAGACGACCAACTGTGCTGATACTAAAAGCAGCACAACAATTTCATTAATGCATGAGCAGATTATGATCAAATGATCTATCAGTTGATGGATTTTCTTTTTGCAACTGCATTCCTGAGACAATACACCAATAATCTTTTCTCATTTTTGACACTTCATATATTAAGATTAAAAAAAAAAAAAGTGAAAATGCATTTACAGACATGTCATGAGGATCCTCTGACAAATGGAGACTTGAATAGCCTGGCTTCTATGTATCTCATTTACAAAACCATCAAATGCCATATAACATTTTAGATTTTAGCTGAGATCAAGCCATTTGGACCTGGCTATTACTATTTGATGACTTGCACTGCACTTGGAAGCACCTACAGGCACTTCATACTAAGATAAGGAGATCAACTGAGAAACTCCACCGCCACAAGGTAATTTATGCTGGTTCTTCTGCAACCTTTGTTTAAATCCCTTCTAGCAAAGTGCTTTTGCAGAGCAAATATTGAGCACGAACAAACAGAATTCATTCCAGTGGAGCTGAACATACTCAGCTTTTAAAAATCAAGAAATAACTTTCAGAAGTCATATAATGAAAGGCCATTTTAAGATCAAAAGGCAGTGAAATAACAAGATTAGTGAAAAACACCTGAATTCCAACTATCTTTGCCAGGTTCTCAGAGTCCCTGAGCATTTGAAGTGGCATTTTGAAGGATTTACGTAATTTTTAATCCCTGACGGCTCGCTGGTACAAGACCCAATACATACAGAGCCTGAGGAAAGCGCCTTAGCCCGCAAGAGTAAACATGACAAAACTACATCTTTGCTGCCATCTTGCTGCTCTCTCTATAATTGACATGCAAACACCACAAGATACATTTTTGGGAGTCCTTTGGGTAGAATTCATTTTTGTAATTGATGCCTCACTATGGTTGCCTAATAAAAATGCCCATTCATCTCTAATTTCAACATATTAAGTGGGTAAAAAAATGTGAAAATTGCAATTTTTTTCTGTTATATGATATAAAGCTCATCTCTACACACACACAAAGGAGCCCAGAGGCATGAGGCCAGTGGTGGAGCCCCAATACCTGCTGCCCTAGTCCCTACCAGGGCTGTCCCAGGAGTCTTGGCCCCACGGTCCGGGAGAGGCACCCACCCCATGGGAGCAGCTCTCTGGGTGATCTCCTGGACCGAGCCGGGATCAGTGACAGGGGTACAGGACATATTGTGGGAGGCAGGGGAATAGCACCTTGGGATTGCACAAGGCTTAGCATGGGATAGTTAGGGGAGAAATCAAGGGTGGCAAAAAGGATTGAGATGGTTTGAGAAGGAACATGCAAGGAAAATAGAGAGATATGGGGATAAAAGCATCAGTCCTATGTAAACTTGTTGCTGATCTGTACGCACATCTGGCCATGTCCTGAGCCTCATCAGTGCAGCCTGTCCTGTCTTCTCATTAAATCCCCTTTCTCTTCTCCTGGATTAGGGACTTTACTATTTGTGCGGGTGTGTGCACGGGGGTCTGAACGCAGCAACCAGAGTCAGACCACGAGTCAGAGGGCCAGTGTGTTTGGAGCGAGCAAAGGTGCACAGCACCAGTGTGTGATCGTGAGGGAGTATCGAGCTGGACCAGCAGGTGAGTAGGGCAAGTGGCCTGGGAGCTGGGGGTGTCCGTGTGTGTCTGGCTCTCTGTGTGTCTCTCAAGGAAAGGGACCAGGAGGCCCAGCCCAACTGTCAGAAAGACCCTGGAGCCTGGGGGGTTGACCCACGTATGCACGCGCGTGTGCATTATTGTGCACAAGGGGGGATATGTACCAGCAGCTGGACTGGGGCTGTGGACCTTGGGAATCACATGCCAGCAACTGGGGAGACTGGGAACCAGGACACAGCTGGTGGGTAGAGTGTCTAAGCCTAGCTACCGGTGGGATGCGCACAGAACATATGTATGCATGTACACGTGTCACACTAATGGGCCTTGATCCTGAACAGTCAGTGAGTAAGATGAATCATTGTTCTGTGAACAGCTATGAGCTCCTTCCAACTTTCTACCAAGTTCTTGTAATTTCACTCAAAGAAGTAATTAGTACTATCACAAAAATGGTACCTATAGCCCTATTACCTGCTCAGGAAAAGGAAAAAGGAAGCTACCATAATGTAGAATTCCAAATCAAGAGTAAACATAAAGGCAAACCTTGCAGCAGCTAACATTGCTACAGGTATATCAAGGAGATAAACAAAAAAAAAGCAAAAGGAAACACTAAGTAAAACAATTTCTGGCCTAAAGATCTAAAGGCCTACTAAAAGCATTTTTTTTTTTATTTTTTTTTTTTTTGACTGTGCACATCCTATACACACACCACAGCTAGCAGGAGAGCAGGCTGACCTACAACTCATTTTTACCTTTTGACTTGTGTCTGCATTTATGAGGTTTTTTGCCTGATGGAAATAGAGTTAAATTAAAAAAAAATAGTATCTATAGACAAAAAAAATGATTAAATGTACATTTAAATTACCAGCTTCCCTCCTATACCACAAATAAGGAATAGAACAAGGCACAAATATTTGCAAATATTAGTGTTTTTCAAACCAATAAGAAGCATCAAAAACTGAAACAGAGACAGGGTGATGATTTTATGTCTGTAAGTCTTTGTTAAGCATTACATTGTTAGTATTCAGAAATACTAAAAATAATTAGGATAAAATCTTTACCGGCTTTTTGTGTTCAACCATAACTTTGATAGGAATATACAAAAAACGGATTCATCTTTTACAAAAATTATTGATATATTTTGAAAAACTATATTCTAGCATTATAATACTAGAAATTAAACATTTAAGTCAAAATGAAAAGTTTTAGAATTCCAGAATATTAACTTTGGTCCTGATTTAGTTAACTGAAAAACTTGGAAGCTCAATATCTCATAGGATCAGAGATTAACAATCCTAATCAGATATAACAACAGACATGAAACCAGTTTTGGTTACTACTGTTTGCAAAAGACTGCAACACAAAAAGCCCCCACTCATCTAATTCACATACTCTAAGATTTAGCATTAAATATGGCCGTTTCCCATCACCTGAAGAGGCAGTTAATCACATACTTGCAGCTAAACCCGCTTAACCTTGTCAGAACTTACGTATCTTCCTGTGTAGGAATGCAAGAAAACTCTTGCAAGGTCATTTGGATATAAATACATCTCATTTTCTACAAGAGACTTAACATAAATTTCTTTCTGTGTGTGAGCTACAAAACACAGGAATCAGATTTTCCTGCTAGGAACTTTTATTTCTCAAAAAGGTCATGCTTCAGACTGGAATGTCCCATACTCTATTACAGTAATAACCAGTTATGTACAGCCACAAAACATGCACTGTTAGTAAAACAAATGCTTCAAAATTTTTTTTTTTTCATAAATTGCTCAATTAGCTGTTGAAAACATATTAAAAGCAGAAAACACACATCATCACACACTAAGCTAGTCATTCACACACTATTCATACATCCTGGGTAGCACGAACTCTCACAAATCTTCTTCAGGCATACTTTATTTTCATTGTGTTACCTGACACTAAGCTAGAATAGGTATCTAATGGAGGACAAAAATAACATTCTTGACTAAATTAACAGCTGCTCATTGAAAATTTGACTAAAGCCAATAACTCAAGTCACTATAAGGCCAGATGGCAAAAGGATGGGAGATGTTCCATCCAGTGTTTACATAAAAAGGATAAAATATGCTGACTTAAGTAATCCTTCCTCACCTGCTAATTCAAATTAATACAGAAAAAAAATTAGTAATCACCACTACTGATCTTAGGTATTCTTTTAAAAGCAAGACTTCATTAAAAAGAGTTGAAGTGAGTTCAAGAACTTTCTGGCCCACCTCCTGAATTTAAGGAAAAGAAAAAATCTTAAAAGGACACAAAATTGAAACTCCTTTAGCAATACAGTAGCTAATGAGAAAAAAACCACAAAAACATCTTGAGAAACCAAAATTATACTATGATTAAATTTTGTTGCCAAGTAGTCATATTACATTTCATTGGCACAAAACATATCAAAAAAGCATTCTTAGTAACTGTTACTTAGTAGTTTTGCCATTAATCACCACTCACCTGTTACCTGGGGTACATATGGAACCGACAATCTTTCCACACTGTATCCACTGCCTCCTAATGATTCTGCAATCTTGTTTGTCAGGAAAAATAAATTTTTTTCATGCTTCTCTAAGGATTTTGGAAGACTGTCAAAATATGTATTTGAAGTTATTATCTACCAACAGAGATTTGTTTATTAAGTAAAATATTTTTCCAATGCCTGCAAGCAACCAAAAAGGGTCAATGCTAATAATATGATGGAAATAAAACTTGCTTACTTTTTTTAGGAATGAATGTATACCCCAAAATGAGTCCATTGAATACCTCCTGCAATATTTTAAATTACCTTAACACTTCTTGGTTTTCTGAAATATGGTTCCTCATCTATTCTGCTACATCTTGAGAGAATATGCTCTCTGTTTATTAGAAAAACACTGCAGAGTAACAGTATTTACCATTTGCCAGCAATGTGCCCTTGTGACGAAAAAGGCGAAGGGTACCCTGGGCTGCCTTAGGATGAGCACTGCCAGCAGGTGGAGAGGAGGGTGATCCTTCCCCTCTGCTAAGCACTGGGAAGGCCACACCTGGAGTAGTGCGTCAAATGCTGGGCTCCCCAGGACAGGAGAGAGACGGACACACTGTACAGAGTCCAACAAAGGGCCACTAAGGTGGATTAAGGGACCGGAGCATCTCTTCAATGAAGACAGACAGACAGCTGGACTGTTCAACATGGAGGAAAGAAGGTGGATCTTATCAATGCGTACAGCCACCTTAAGGGAGGGAGGGTGGAAAGACAACAGAGCCAGGCTCTTTTCAGTGGTGCCCAGTGACAGGACCAGAGGCAATGGGCACAAACTGACACACAAGAGGTTCCCTCTGAACATTAGGAACACTTTTTTTACTGTGAGGGTGGCTGAGCACTGCCACAGGTTGCCCAGAGAGGTTGTGGAGTCTCCAAGCTTGAAGATATTCCAAAGCCATCTGGATGTGGTCCTGGACAGCCTGCTGTAGGTGACCCAGCTTGACTGGGGAGGTTGGACCAGATGACCTCCAGAGGTCTCCTCCAACCTCAACTACTCTGTGATTCAGTGAAAATGCATTTTGCTGTGTTAGCACTTACATCTGCACAATATGATGCTTGGTGTAAGTGCCTCTGACTACAATAAAGAAAGTCTGAAAAACAAGGTTTTTTCATATATGCTTTTAACACTTAGTTTTCTTCTGCCTATCCTGTACACTATTAAACCTCTAAATTATTTTTCACTTATGCAACGTATTTCAATGATGTGTGATTTTTTAACTGTAAAATAGGTACTTCACTGTTCATTAATTCATGTTTTGTATCTACTTACCTGCTTTGGTCTTTGAAAATTGTTTCTGGTAGAAAATAAGATGCTTCCAGACTTCTAGTTTCGATAACCTGAAAAAAAGCCCCAAGACAAATAGTACAAATAGAGTAATTCCATAGCTGTTTTCTCCAATGACTAAATTGCTCAAAGAGGTTCTACTACAGCAGATTACCAATCCTTCACTAACATCTACCTTTGCACAAATGAGGCCTTTAGAATTTCTTTTTACCAGAGAGATTAAACTCACCCTTTAGACTAAAAATCTGGTTCTCAAGGTCTTGAGAGAAGAATATTTTGTGCATAATTTTAAGAGGCAGCAAGTAATGCCACCAGAGACCAAAGACTAAGAGCAATGTTGGTGGACACAAATACAGATGATCAACACCACAAGCAATTAACTGAAGTTATTTACCCATTTTACAGTAGAACGTGTAATGTCCTAAATGACTTAAATTACTTAATTCTGTGTTACCTTGCTGACATGCTGACAAAACGCAGGAACTGCAATCATCTGACTCAGAAAGTTTAGATACGCTGCAACCAATGCCATGACACCACAACGATTAAACATTGGCAGATTATCCTCATTGATGATGGCAATATCCTGAAATATAAAGGATAGCATTATACTCTCCAAAGTTAACAGGCTGTTCCAAAGTCAAAATTATTAGTAGTAACACTAGCTGACATGATGACGACTATCTGGTATCACTTAGCATTTAATACCTCTCATCTTAAAATCCTAGTCTTTTAGCTCACTCCTGAATTAGTTACACATTGAACTGAAGTTAGCTTGAAGGTTCAACCACCATGAAGACAAGTAAGTCTACTCAAACTTCCATTTCTCAGAAAGAGAGGACAGGTTAATGACTGGTAGTCTCTTGTCCTTACCACCTGCTGATCATAATTTTTTTTCAGGAAAGTTAGAAACAGTAGTTTAATAATAAAAAAATCACTCCTGTGAGTCACAGATACAGTACCACAAAGGGAATTATTTAATACTTATTAGCGTTTCCACATTTATTTAGATAGTATTATTTTTGTTCCAGTAAAACACATAATGACATTTTCATCAAGTAAGGATTTGGTTCAGTGACATATTTTAAAATTAATGATGCACTCTGCATTTCAGAGGTTTCATAATGCAGGTGCAAATTAGGGAATAAGGCTAATGATAGAGAGAGAACTGGGAATACAGGACAGAATTTAATCAAATTTCCATGGCACATGCTAGCACTGTTTTTTTTGAATGCTTAAAATTCAACACAGATAAACCTACTAAGTTACGCAGTTTCACTGAGGACTGTATGCAAGTATGAAATAATGTTTGATCTTGTAAAGGAAATGCGAAGGAATAAAGCCTGTCAACACACTGACAGAACTGTACTCTAAGGTAAGATTAAATAGCCTGGTTTGACAAATATTTCCAACCAACCAATTAACCATAAGCTTTCTTCCAATATGAGGACAGCCCATATATTTTGTGCAGAACACTGACACAAGATCACAGGTTGTAAGTATACCTTGTCAATCTGCTAATAAATATATCAGTGATTCTAGGGAATGTTTCCACAAATTTCTACCTCTGCTATATTTCCTGAAGAAAACATGCTGTAGAAGTTTGTAACAAATCTGATTAGCTGAAGCTTCCCTATTAATAAGTGTTATGTATACGGTGCACTTCCTTAACAGATCAATTGAATTAGGACTGAATGATGCAATTTCCAATTTGAAGATAAATACGGAAACAATTATATCTCCAATTACAAGTATAAATTGTCAATCAGTGAACCTAACACTGATTCAGACTCATACCTGCAAAGCAATAGCTAATCGAATGAGGTCAATAACCACTTCTTCATTGGCTAGTTCAATTGTGATAAGAGCTAGAGATGTAAACAGCAGTTCAAAGTTCTTTTGGACATTGTCTTCTTCTTTACAGCCTAAGTAGATGTGTCTGTATAACTGCTGACCGTGCTAAAAAAGACATAAAAGGGACAATGAGTATTAAAATCACAGAATAATTTAGGTTAGAAAGGATATTCTAAGGTCCTCCAGTCCAACTCCCTACTCCAAGCAGAGCCAACTTCGATGTTAGATGATTTTAGATAGAGAATTACTAAGATACATGTACACACATACATACACATAAACAAGTACATGATGAATCAGGACCATCAGTTTAATATTCTAACAGCAGCTTCTTTATGAGTATAGCACTGTTCTATTTTATGTAGAAGTGTATAGATACGGTATATGATACAGAGAATTGCACATGAATACTGCACTGTGTGTCAGAAACTGGCATTCATTTCCTATTGAAATATTCAGAAAAAAAATTGACCATTTATGAAAAGGAGAAAATAAAAAGCAGATCTTGAAACATTCTCAAGAACATTCAAGTAACTGAGGATCTTCAAGGGTTATCCTTGTGAAGACATCAAATTTGTTCATTAAGCAAGTCTCCTTGAATAGCAAACTGATAAAAAATTCTTCTAGAGGGTGTTACAGCAGATTCATAGGGCTCATTTACTACTGTGCACAGGGAGGCTCTAGCTGTAGCGAAGAACATTGGTTATCTAATGAAAGACCCTCAACTTCAAAAGTGACTTCCCTTTCCTCAGAATGCTGTGTTTAACCAAATCTTTGTAAAGAAACTATTCTTTCGACACACACACACACAAAAAAAGACAGGAAGGCAAGTTAAGAAGCAGGTTTTGCAACACACGACTCTGTACCACCCCAGCATTCTTAATCTGTAGAGGCTACAGGTCTGTATCAGTTGACACAGTTAATTTTCAAGATCTAAGGACTGATGCTTTACTGCTGGAAGTAGTAGTTCAGTTTTAGAAGGAGAAGTACAACTAAATTTTAACATCTGTTTTTCAAGTAGGATATATTCACTTAAGAAATAAAAAAGATGATGTTGGTCTTATTATAAGTTTTAAAATTAAATATATAGTTGTTCAAATATATGTTTTATTTAGAAAAGAGGGAAGCAGACCTATCAGCAAAGCACAGAAGCTACTATGAAATATGCACAGTAAAGGTTAGCTGTTTGAAGACACAGTACATTTGGGAAATAAGAGTAAGTATATTTGGAAAATAAAAGTAATGAAATTATTCATCCCACTGATAAAGAACTGCAGTTAGATATGAAAATAAATTATGTGCCTATTCTTAGCACGTAGTACCTTTCTAGAAGATGGCAAAATGCAAGAAGTTCAATATTTCCCTTTAAAGAAAGGATAGAATAAACGTCCTGGCTTTGAGAAGGTAAACTAAGATGAAAAGAACTTTGTGTCTATGTCTGGTTTAATTCCACCTATTTTAGGTGCTGAAATTTCCAAGTATGATAAACAATTGCCATAGGATTTCCATCTAACATCAAACAAGTGTAGACAGTCATTCAGATCTTAATGGACTTCTGGAGGTGCTTCACCCCTCTCCTTTGAATACTGTAAGAATCTAGGAAGAGCAAGATGGCTAACACACATCTAAACTAGGTGAGCAACATTAGGTTTATGACTTTTCTTGACTTGATACGAGTCTCTTTTCCTCTCCTGCCCTCTTTTTCAGATGAGAGTCTTAACAATTCATAGAATCATAGAACGGTTTGGGTTGGAAGGGATCTCAAAGATCATCTAGTTCCAACCCCCCTGCCATGGGCAGGGACACCCTCCACTACACCAGGTGACTCAAAGCCCCATCCAACTAGGCCTTGAACACTTCCAGGGAGGGGGCATCAACAGCTTCTCTGGGCAACCTGTTCCAGTGCCTCACCACCCTCACAGGGAAGAATTTTTTCCTTATATCTAATCTAAATCGACCCTGTTTCAGTTTAAACCCATTACCCCTGGTCCTGTTACTCCATGCCCTTGCAAACAGTCCCTTCTCCAGCTTTCCTGCAGGCCCCTTCAGGTACTGGAAGGCTGCTCTAACATCTCCCCGGAGCCTTCTCTTCTCCAGGCTGAACAATCCCAACTCTCTTGGCCTGTCTTCACAGGAGAGGTGCTCCAGCCCTCTCATCATCTTCATGTCCCTCCTCTGGACTCGCTCCAACAGCTCTACATAATTCAAATATTTAGTCTGACAATTAAAATTTTCATCTAGCAAGCTCAGTAAATACAATTTAATCAAACGGTTTTAAATCCTAGACATTGAATTGATGAATTAATTTTTAATTCACTTTGTAAAAAGACACATTATTAATAATTGCCAATGTTGGAGTGTACTTTGTATTTATATTGTTCCAGTATTACTCAAAACAGGTGCAAATATACCACAAGGAATATTAGCTGTACTAATTTAGCAAGAACATTTATCTTGCAATGCTATGTGAAAGCCGCATAACTGCATATTATTATATATGTAGTATTTTTGCCTCTGGACAAGTTAAATTGCAATTTTTCTGATTTTTATAATTAGAATATTAAATTAAATCAGCACTCTGAATATATACATTTTTTATTTCACAGCTAATAGGAAACAAAACAAAACAGTACGGGATAGCTGTGAGAAATGAATGTATTTTCTCAGGCAGGTAACAGCGATAAATGTTCCAAAACCTGCTTAAGCTAACTTCAGTAATTTGTATTTTTTTGTTTACAAACATACCTACAGATAAACTATAGTCAGTAATGACAGAGCACACTGATAACTTGTGTTGGTTTTGCGTGGCAAGGTTTT